GTACATTTTCATTACGTTTCAACTCGCCATTTCTCGAGTTTATAAAAAAACAGAGAAAAAAAGTCACACTATATGGAAATGGACCTTACTGTGAGCAAAACTACATCATATTTCTATTCCTGGAATGCTTAGCTTGACTTACAGGTTCTTGTACTGGCTGAATGAATGAACCCTCACTCCCAAACTTACTCTTGTATTTCTGTTGATTCTTCATTATAGATCGGGTGCTAGTCTTAAACCATCTTATCCAATAACCATTTAGTCTGAAAATATTGTTCTGATGGTGAATTTGCTTAAAAATGACATGCTGAGAATTCCATATTGTCTCATACGTATTGTTTGAAACAAAGTCATTAGAGTTATTCGATTCTGATAATTGAAGACGGTGGATGCATCAAAGTAGGTCAGAAAGTGATGGATATGCTGTATGACGATGTCCTAATGTGGATCAATCAATTAATGAAGAAGGGTGAATTTTAAATAATAAAGATTGAACTAAGAATGATGTTGGAGAAATCAAAAATTTTAGAGAAGGAGATTAGACTGAAAGCAAACATTTGGACGCATTTATTCCAAATTACCACGGTGATGAATGGTAAATGACTGTCTCGTTTTTATTAGATCACTTTAGTCAGATATTTTTGATTGCACTAACTTATGTGAACCGGCGTGGATGAGAAGTTTTCTTCGAGATAAGGTCCACAGATTTTAGTTATTTCTGTCTGATGCCTTGAATTGACCATTTGGCAAGCTATTGAGCAACAAGACAGCTTTGTTTTTCTAATATGTGAAGTTGTTTGAGCATGTTTTGAAATCCTTGTAAACAACTATCTATCCATTCTTCTGATGTACTCATTTCTCAGCTACGTGCGGATAAGTAGAGTTTGGGCGTAAGGAAATGCTAAAAATCTACTTTAAACTGAAAGAGATTGAGAATTTCCGAGGTACCATATTCAAAAAATATTTGCTGAATAGCCAGATATTGTCTGAATTAGCAGTACATTATGCATATAAAAAGAAAAAGGAAACTTTTTAAAAAATAATTTTATTTCTTTTGATAATGATATATGTGCTGAAGTTTTTTCGTTGATAGCTTCATTCTTGCAGTTTAAAAACTGAAACTTTGTGTAGATTAACTTGGAATTTTTACATTGTTGGTCCTCTTACTTCCTTTTAAACTAACAAATACTCAGACAGATACATACCAGCATATATCTGCATATGTCATGTACATACAGATGAGTATTGGTTTCCATTTTTGAAAAACTTGATTATGTCTAATTGTTTGTGAACAATCACTTAGTATTAATTTGATAGGAATGTATTCTGTGCTGAGATTGCTGGTGATTTTACTTTCAAATCATTCTAGTTACTACTTACAAAGCAACTAAAAACGAAGGCTTGTAGAATTCCCTTGAGAAATTTTGTAATCTAAATTTACCCAACTAGGTTTAAGAGAAAAATAATTTCAGTGAACAACGCCACCATGACCCAGTAGATCCAGTTTAAACAGATCAAAATTATCAACTGACATAAGGTAGAATAGTATGGATGAGCACAGATATACATAAACAAATTAGTAAACGGCTTCTCAGTGTTCAATTTCTTGCATTTCGTTCCGAATAAATGTCACTTGGAATGAGAGTAAACAGAATACTTCAGATGTTGTTACTTGTATTATCCCGTCGTTGAGGGAATCGAATTGATAGGTCTCAGTCAGCATATGGGTTCCTGCGAAGATGCCTATGTTTCACTCATAAATTATGATGGATAATACAAGCAATAAAATTAAAACTATGATCGTCGTACAAGAAGTGGCTATCGCGATTCAGTGGTCTAGTGGATAATGCTCTGGCGTTTGAAGCGATCGATACCAAGTTCGATTCCTAGCAGGAGCGACACTTCTCACCGTGTGGCAGGTACAGCTGTGCAGCCCCAAATAGGAAAAAAAGTGAGTCCTACATCTCACTTCTACTCACTATCCATCATTAAAATATTTCATAGAATAAATACTTGGTCCCTTTATATACAGAAACCAGTCTAATAATTACTCAGTGTTAGATTTTGGGTGACAGTTTAAAACAGTAGTGATGGACTAATATTTTGAATACGTAATTTTATGTTCCAGACAGATAAAGTATGAAAACTCACCTTTATTTCATGGACAACAAGGAGATAAGGTTAGTATACTAGTTGTTTGATATATCAAAAGAAAGCAAGGACGAAACCTTAAATAGACAAGTTAACTTGCTGTAGCTAACAGAAGAAAAAAATTACGAATCTCAGAAGAGTATTATTGGTGGTACCATTTCAAAAGGCATTTTAATTAAGACTTATTTTATTGTATTATTGAACAGCTCAGTTCAAGATTAGCTTTTTACTGACTCCTCAAGGTTCACGGTTCTGAGTGAAATAGAGTATGTTTAGTCTGAAATTAGGTATTTCATCTTTGGAAGTTATGGTGCTTTCTGGTTACTCAAGATCAGAGAGACTCAGGTCGATCAGAATTCAAGGGTAGGAAGTTCTTGGTGTTTGTGTTCTATTTCATAGTGCGGTGAGGGGAATAGTAATGGTTAAATGGTTAAAAATAATAACTCATAGTTCTTTCAATTCGTTAAATAACTTGTAGGCATGAAAAGCGTAGACAAGCGCCACGATATGCAGGCAGTGAGACGATGTAGCCACTAAACTCTTCAGTACTGAATGACGTTCATCGGAGCGTTCCCACTTTGACTACTAAGCATGTTGATAAGGCACTGCAGTGGATTAAACTTCTACTGCTAGATGTTAGGCATAATATTTCATGTATAGACTAAAGCTTCTTAAAGAAGATTATCTTAAAACAGTAGTATCTATTTAAAAGAATATATGTTGCTAAGATTGTTGGTAATTTTATCTGATATGATACTTTGTCGTTCAACTGCTACGGGATCTAGAGTTTGCGAAATTTACTGGACATCGAAGCTACGAGGAATCGACAAAACGCACAAAATAGTAAAGAAGTGATTATTCTTTTCATGAGCAGGGTTGAGACTGAAGATTAACAATTTTTCTTGAAAAGCTAATGCATTTATGATATCATTTAAATATTTTATATTGTTGTAGTGGAAATAAGGAAGCCCTGTAAATTTGAACACTATCTCAATGTGTACCCTGATTTATTATATTAGTAAAACAACTGTCAGTGGCCACCTAATCTATCGTTCAAACATCATGTGTTTACCCCATACAGTTTATTTTAAAAACTACTTATTTCTCATTGTTGTTTGGTTTCATTCAATGACAATGTATCAAGCAGTTTCGTTAATTTTTTTCAACAGCTATTTATTGTTTAAAATCATTTACCCATATGCTTTAACTTCAGTCCCTTACTGAATGTTCAGAGATGATTCTGGTTTCTTTGGTTGCAACTTTTGGTCTGCATGCATATTAAATTCAGTGAATACAGTTAATATATGGTTCTAATGTGTGAGACTATAAACTCTGAACTTCACATTAGTGAATAAAAGGTAGGGAACCTTTGACTTGGAAATATGGAGTGTTGATTAACCTAGCAATATAAACGGAAACAAGCAATCTAATTTTTATAATACTGACAAAATTTTTTACTTAAGCAGACACTGTTTTTCCTTTCAATTGTCACTTGACTAAGAAAATTCATTTTTGTCAACAAGCTCCTCTCAAATCGCTTTAAACTACTGATATAATCAGGCAGATATAAGTGAATATGCAGATGGAAATTCATTTCATACCTCTTGATCCGTTGATATTTTACTTGAGTTTCCTTCGTTCCATGCACAAATAACTGCAACTTGTAACCAAAAATTATTTGAATAATGCAAAAGGCAACTTCTTTTAAAAATAATGTAAGTAATAAGCTTACATCTGAATCAAATCTACCAAACATAACCATGATTTAATAACTTATTTCATGTTGGCATGCCCTTAGAGTTTTATCGTTTTTATGAATTGTATGTTTCAAATTTAAATGAAGTTTCAAAATGACCAGTTTGCAAATGACTTACAAATTGCATTGCCAACGTTGACATTTATCACAGTTGAGTAGTTTTCAACTTCGCAAATGTGCCGTCAATAGAGTTCCTGCTGTAAATCAATTGGCCGAGGTGTCATGTTCTAGCGAAAGGTACTACTACAGAGCAACTAGAGTAGTTAGAAATCACTCCGGCTGATCTAAAGTATTTTGCCAACCAGATCGGAATGATGTAAACACCGGATGGCTGTTTCGCTCATCTGACGTGGTCTACCCTGAATAATTCTGCTGTATGAGCGGAATTAAGTTAGACCACCTGAATCTGACTAGCTGACTTACATGAACCAGTATACCAAAAATAGACTGATCAATTTGCAAATGATTCACAAATTGTACGGTGCAAGTTGACATTTGTTAATAAACTTAACTCTCCTGTACAAAACTGTTATACACTACATATAAGCCTGAGTGATTACCTACTACTTTGGTTGTTCACTAGTAGTAACTTTCGATAGTAAGTGGTACTTTTATGTTAGAGATCATACCTTGTTATTTCAGTTGAGTGGTTTCATACAAATCTCAGCGTGTTTGAAATATATAATTACAAATTTTCGCATGGGTCCTAGCCTCTTAAGAGAAATAATCAAAACCACATTATTAGGGATATACGATAACGGTCAACAACAATGAGATGAACTACAACGGTTTTTCACTCATTATGTGTATCCATGATAACATGACGTACTAGATTCTAGTATTCATATGAATATGAATTCCGATTAATTACTACATTTGAAAAACAGTTTGACTTTAATACTGATCACTTTTACTATTTATTAAACAGTACAATTATTTAGGTATGTAATATCTTTTTAAAAATAAAAAATTCAACGTTGAAAGATGAACTGTTAGTATCATCCTATTCTACAGGATAATAATTTACTGGTTTTTTCCAGCCAAACAGATTGGTGTTTGTGAAAATGATGAATTCTTCTGTGGACACATACCGATGGAACCGTATCGAATGGCTTACTCACGCAGAAAACGTTCACCAGGTAATATCACCAATTCACTGACTGAAATTCAATCTTCTTCAGCTGAAAAATCAAGCATGACAATGTCAATGGTGATGACAACAACAACAAATTTTAACGATATACAAAACTCACTAAAGTTTAAGTCAACGAAAAACCTGAAGTCACGAAGATCATTTAGTCAAAAAGTAGAATATGGTTATTGTATTTCAAAACAATTAAAGTGTGATAGTGTTGTCCATTGTCATAATGCAAGAGATGAATTGCCTAGTCTAAGAATGAATCCAACAGATTTACCTGGCCAATTATTACCTGCACTTGTGGGTGCACATCTTACACCGGGGGATTTAAATAACATTGGATGTACTGTATACAAGCTTAGCAGCAATACAATAATACAAAGTTATCATAATGAAGGACTTGAATTGCTTAGAACTTCGGTTACTGACAAGTCACAGATGAAAGGTAAATTTTCGTGAATTGCGTTTATTATAAGCTAAGCTTAACTTTTGTATTCTTTACTTCCAGGATCGAGATGGTAAGTATTTTTATAAAATGAATTGAAACGCGCTCAGAAACCTTCAGCACATTTGTGGAATAGGTAATGACCTGCATCTACTGTGTGAAGGCTTATTATACTGCCTGGTTGCTCATACTTCGGTAAGTGGAGCGGTGTTTGAATCCATGACCCACTGGTTGAAAGTCAACCGTCTAAACCAATGAGCCAAAGCTAACAAAGTGAGTTATGCATATGATCATTTGTGTTACAATATTCGATATACAACCAGAAATTCTGATTAAAGAGAATCAGAGAGAACTTGACCACTGGCAGATTTTCTACCCAAGAACAAAAGCATGTTTAATTACCATAATAATAATTATTATTCAACGTTCCAAATTATGAACATTTTAAATACGAACTGATCAAACCATTCTTCTCCTTATATCTATGCTTCTGTTAACAATTCAATGTATGTAGTAGTTGAGAGGGCTAAAATATAAATAATTTTCTTCCCTAACTGACATCAATTAATGTGCCAACTGAACAGCTGTCTAGTGTTCAATACTGACAACCCTTGAAATTGATTTTCTGAAAGACTGTTGAGAAACTATGGTCTCTGGGATCAACCAAGTTGGTTGTAAGGATAAAAGCTTGCCAGTGACACTAAATGTGGTTTGGGCCATTTCACGAATTGAGAGAAGAATTGAAATGTGAATGATTGAACTCAGACTTAGTGGCCTAGTGGCAGTATAATCGCCATTATACTTGGCGGTCCTGAACTTTTTCCTTTTCGGGGCTCTCAGTGCCTACTTACAATGAGTCCCAAATGAAACTGTTGCTCAGTTCTCTCAGGTTTTCAGTGATGCTTTGGTTGATGCCAGTTCATCATGACTACTATTTTGAAACTACCCAGTCGTCAGAAACCACGAAATAAAAAGATTTTCCGAAATTAATCTTAGTAACTTAAATAGAGTACATTAAAAATAGGATAATTACGGAGTATATTAGTTTATGATGACAAGAAGATGTTGAGTACGTGACAGATGTAAATGAGTGAGAAACTATGCAGTGGAATGTTATTACCAGTCATAAGAAATATTTTCTATCAGTATAAATTCCCATCCTAATTCCGGCTATTGTAAAACATGAAGTGGGCTCGGTCGTCCTCCCTAAATGCCCTAATTCAGCCGAATACCTAGGTGAGGTGATAGACTGTGATTCTAAACATGCGGTACACCTAGGTTCCAGGATCCGAAACAGGTATGTAATCTATGAAAGTACTTTGATGACCTATAAACACACGAACACTGTTTCCTATTTTGTTCCGCTGTCTTATCAATCAGGCTTCACACTAAACATTTCAGAAGTGGTTGTTTAAGACAGCTTTCTGCTTAAGCCAGGCATTCATGCAGTATCACATCCATCAAAGATAAAAAGACGTTCACAATGAATAATTCAAGGCGCTTATAAAATCTTGCAAGTAATCAAAATCATTGTTTTATTAACTTTACGCTGTATTATTCTTTGTCGTGTCAGATTCTTTGTTATTTTTACATTCGAACTATATTACTCTACGAGTGTCAGTTTTGGGTTCATCTTTTATGTATGTGTTAACTCCACTTGGTATCTCATCACTTATTGATATTCTGGTTAACGTGAACGGTTTTCAGTCACTATTCTGTTGCTAACAGAAAACTGTTCTATAGTGTGATATCAAACTCAGCTATTCTCAAACTATGCATAGTGCTTAAGCTAACTGTCTTTTACATGGTACAAGTCAAACAATCGACGAGCATATTAAAGATCATGAAAGCGTCACCACCGACCTCTTCTCTGTCTTGGGTCCGTATATGTAAGATCCTAGTGCAGTACTTCAAATAATTTCACTAACGGTGAGCTCGAAAGTGTTTTTACCATACACTTATCCGGGACCTTGTGGCTCTGAGCAGCCGGCCTTATTGGTGTTGGCATCACACTACGCTGCTCTGTGTTCAACTGGATCTCTATTAAGAATAACTTACAGTAGAAACGATATCACTTTATTATCTTTGCTTTTGCTTTGAAGGTTTATAGCTGGCATGTAGTATCAGATCTACCGTCAACTAAGTAACTTTCTCTAGCACATGTGCTTGCCTGACAGATATCGTGTTGATAGCTAATGACTTTAATGCATAAGTCAGTTGTCTAACCTCAGAGGAGAAATGTTAAGGTGGCCAGTGGATGTTAATCAGTAGCAAGTGTGATGACAGTGACTAACTTTCACAGCTACTTTTAGCTGGTAAAACTGTTGCATTTGAGTCACCTAGTTTTCTCTCTCCCACTTATGACTACACTGAAATAAATAGCAGTTTGCTACCAAGGCTATGGATACATTCAGGTTTGTAGCCTCTTCCGAAGCACCTGTATAGAATCTGATCGTACTTAAATCAGTGCTTGTTTCATCTTGCATTTAATTCGTCATCAAAGTGGTCCTCCTAAATAAGTTGAAGTAAAAAAATTGGTTGTACATAATGTTGAGACCAATTGCCGAATAGTGCCAGACCTAACATTAACTATGGAATATCCAGAAACTACAAATGAGCCCTGACTAAGCACATAGAATCCTGCACAAAATAATGGGCAGCTGGTTGCGACTTCGAATACTTCAGTGAGGAAATAACCAAACTACTTAAGAAAATGTGGCGGACTGAAAGTATTTTCTCACTCTGGGATGAGGCAGTTTCTGTGACCATTCTTAGGAATGGTCTATTTGACATATATGACAGTCACTGAGGGTATCCATCTATTACCAGTAGTGTCTAAAATGTTGTCTATTATCATACTTAACAGAGTTTTGCAAACTGCATAGAAAGCCGATCTCAAGGTATAGGCAGGGTTTTGTTTAAGTTGCGGATGGACTAATCATTGGTTTACCTTCCGATGAGCTACTCGAACACCATCACACATAATGCGGGCCAACAATCGTTTTGTCACTGAATATTAAGGCTGCCTGTGGTTCTTCAGACATAAGTGTCCTCCGGTAGTGGCCGTTGCAAACTGGTGTCCGTCATTAAAAGATCTTGCATATAGACACGTTGGATAGAGTTGAGATACACAACCACTTCTCTCCACTTTTCCACACCAGCTGATACATTGTACCAGATTTCATAAATTCGTCACTCCAGTTCAACTTCGTCATGTATGACATTTTCGAAAAAACCTTTAACGAGATACATCACTGTGGTTTAGATATGCTGCTAGGTGAAAGACTTTTTAACTTTGAATATGCGTTTGATATCTTTCTACTGTGGTACAAGATACGGGCTATTACGATTGCACTTAGTTAAGTGGTAGTCCATATGCTTACGGTATACGTTTTGCCCGGCCAAAGTGCCAGTTGCTTCTGCAGGAATAAGACGAGTTTGTGCCTGTGCTCACCAGTGCAAGTAAGCAGTTGACGTAGTCGTTTAGCTTTTTTATCTAAGTATATCTGTGACTTATAAGATTTATAAGAGCATACTTAAAGCCAGAATTGCACATTCCAATGCGGGGGATCTCCTTAACATCAAAATGGCTGTAATGGTCGGGGATATAATGCAACCGTACAAAAAGTTCTGGTCTACACCTTTGAAACTTGGACGCTTTGAGCTGTGGATATCTGCCACCTTTGTATTTTTGGTCAAACATGTCTCTGTAGGATCCCCAGCATCCAGTGGGGGTCAGACATTGCACGTGGGGGCATGCTGAAAAAATGGCACTCGACGAGGTAATTATTCTTGAATTACCGGCTTCGCTGACTGTAAAATGTAGTACGAATGTTTTCTCAGTAGGTCCCATATCAGTCACTGATTTTAACCCTTGGAACTGGTTGGAATAAAAGTAGATATAGTCACCGTATATCCTGACGGCTTGTGATGAAAGACTCTACCTTTTGGGCTAGTATCTGTTATTTCTCACGACTCTTTGGATGTAGATTGGAAGAACAAAAAAATTAGTTGCATAGAACATAGAACAACGGCAAACATGCCTCACAGTCGAAACGAATGGTAATCGTGCTGCAAGTATCTTGTTTCTCCAATTTCAGAAAAGTAGAATGAAGGTATACTTTAGAATGCGTTTCCGTAAGAATCCAATCCCACTTTTGTTTCTATCCTCTTCTTTTTCTTTATCCCATCTAAATAACTTTTCTGTATTCCAGTTGTTGTTATATTGCTTTTGTGGTGCATTTCTTCATCCCAGTGCTGTACCATGTACTTTCTGGAAATAAATAAACAGTAGTTTCAAATGATGGAAAATATTTCGGATATATTTCTGACTGCATGTTCAGTTTTTCAATTCCTTGTTCCGCAATTATCATGGGAGATAATCTATTAGTTGTCACTGCTTAACTTATACAACTGTTTATATTATTGTGTATTGTAATATATTAACTGACTTTATCATACGATTAGTGAGTATCACTTTATTTTCAACACCACTGTCATACTCCTATCTACATTTTAAATACGTCATCCTAGTAAACTCAGTATGCATCAACAAACATTTATCTTACTTTGTATTTCATTCTGACTGGATATTGTGTGATTTTTCCACCTTCAGGACATTTATGTCATTACTATTAACCCTAGGGAAAATCACTATGACTATATGAAAGTAAGGACAGAATATTAAGTCCTTTTTACGCATTTTCAGTTCAACATTATACCAAGCGTGTCCCATTCAGGTTGTTTACAACAATGACTTCACTTCTATAATATTCAGCTTGCCAGAAAAAAGAAATAGAATAGATTTTTATCGTAAATACAGAAAAACAACACATGTTGGATTATCGTCATCAATGTCATCTACCATGTACACTGTATAGTTGTGACAGTCTGTTTTGAACATACTCATTTCTATTACTATTCGTTTAAAAGCGATACAAATAATAGTTTTTTTAAAGTTATAAGGTCAAATACATCCATTTTGCACCGCAGAGGCATAACTGTTCTTATCGATCTATCGTCATGTTTTGTCTTTTAAGAAAAACATTGACAACAAATTTCAGTAAAAGGTTAACTTGATATTTGGAGTTTTTTGTTTTCCTGATAATGATGCATTCAAATAATCCTTACTTGCTAGTCTTAAAGAAATTTACTGTTTTACTACATATTATTTAGGGATGTGTATGTTGACAGTCTAGAAGGCGCTATTCATTTGAAGAGAATCCACTTGTTGGATAAGCTGTATTAGATCCTCTTAGTTCGTATACTCGCAGTCATATCAGGATTTGAGGACTTCAGTAGTCAGATAACCTGGGTTGTACCAGGATTTGAACCAGCAGCCCTTGAATACCCAGTCTGAAACTAAACCAAATGAAATAAAACTGTTAATGAAATTCCGATTTCTTTTCAGCCACTAAAAGTTCCTCTCGGTTGTAATGTGAATGAAAGATACATAAGTTTTTATGCATTAATCAGTGAATCATTTAGGCCATTGATTTGAATTCGTTCACAATTCACCTTTTCTGTCAATTTCGACCATCTCTCCTTTATATTAGAATAATTTTCATCAGGATTTCACATCAACTGAGTTTTAGTGTGTTTCATCCTTGCATAATAAATACTATGTGTACTACACCTACCTACTTAGATAAACTAAGATTCAATGATCAATTCTATGTGACACAAAACATTGATCAGTATTGGTTCATACCACTGATTTGTTTGACCCATTGTTTGTTACTTCTTTGGGTATCGATAATTCAGTCTTCCAGAAACCTTCAACCCAACGCATTTGAATTAATATTAATGAGAAGAAGTGCATCCTGTTTGCCTTGAAATGAACGCGTATAATAGAAGAAGGGAACACCCCAATCACTGCAAAGCTGCATATTTCAATCCGCATTCTATCCAGTAAATAAGCTGTCACCCCCTAATTAAATATATTTTTTCCTGGTGGATAAAAGAATTGTTACTCTGATATTATATTTAGTGTAATTATTTGAGTTTGAAAAAATAAACAAAACACAGATTAAGCTGACATAAGTGACAATCAGTTTTCAACAAAATGACTCACCAACCTACAATAATCTTTTTTCCTAGGGATTACTGGAAATTTTCCTTCTAAATTTCTGTTTACTTTTGTCAGGAAATAATGAAGGAATAAAACTGTAGAATTTTTATTCATCCATATCTAAAAAAGACAAAAATACACCAGTTTCATATTAGATATTTTTTTAATGATATATGATGGACAGTGATACAGTATTGTTTACTTGATGATGTTTCAAGCATAAATTATTGCTCATAATCATATCAATGTTAAAACAAATAAAACGCTATTAGGAAGTTTACCGAATTGTTTTGGAATTACGCAATAGTTCACTATATTTCGGTAGTCTGCCTGAACTTTGGGCTACCAATAAAAATTTTCCACGTGATATATAGTGCCACGTTCTTCCCTGTCAGTTTGTTTTACTCTTTCAGATATGTATTATTTTTTTCCCTTTGGGTTCGTAGTGGAACATACGGCTTCAATAGCACGCCCCCATTCCACTCTGTTCTCTGCAGTCTTCAAAACCTTGCTCCACATCTGCCCACAAACTTCCATTTCTTCTTCACATGATCTCCTCCATATCACCTTCGGTATCGACACCCAACTGGTCGTTTCACCTTTGCATTCAACTCGAATGCCTGGCCTGGTGCGTGATGTTCCCTATTGGTCTGCTCAGTGTGTGTCCACTTCAATCCATCTCCACATTCTTCTGCATATTTGTTGGGTGATGGGTTGTTGGTTGGTTCGTAGCCAGCCAGAGTTCCTTGTTGCTTATTCTTATTATTCTGGCCATCTGATCTTCAGTATCGAATAAGCGTAGGTGGCAGCTGTTGGTGAATATCTCTAGCTTGTTGGAAATGCTTTTCGTAACGCACCAAATCTGTGAACCATCACACAGAAACACTGACTTTACCAACATTAGTGTTGAAAATCCGGATCTTGTTCACGCTTTATGCTGAGTGGAGTGCACTGGATCTCCACATTGTTTTCAGATGAATGGAGGCCTGTCTTGCTGTGTTTCTCATCCTGGCTTTCACGTCCTCATCTGTGCCTGTGCCGCCGCCTGTAGTGGAAACGATGCTGCGTAGGAAGGTAGGTGATAGACTATTTCCTTTAGACTTCTCCAGGTAATGATGATTGGTGCTTGTTGTTGGTTGCGTATCTCTATCAGCTCCGTCTTCTCTACATCCACTTGAAGTCCAGTCTTCCTTCGCTGCCCCACCTCTTCTGTCAACTTGTTAGTTAACGCCTGTAGATCTTCGAGTTTGTGCGACAAGACATCAGACATTAATCACCATCGGCGAAATCCAAATCTTCTTCTGGGGTCTTTTCATCGGTCAGACAGCGTATGCTCCTCTTCTCGCTCCTCACAGTTGTCTTCACTTCAAAGGCATTAGTGATCTGAGCTTTCTATTGTCAATCACTTGGCATGTGGTGTTTTTATATGGCTGATGAATGAGGTTGATAAAGATTTGTGGTAATCCGTAGTGTTAAAGCAGTTTCCAAATTACTTCTCGGTTGACACTGTCGAAGGCCTTTTCAAAGTCGATGAAGTTGAGGTGAAGACCCATTTGACTGCCATTCTATGCTCTTTCTAATGGTGATGCGTAGCGTTGCAATTTGATCAGCACATGATTTGTTCTTCCTGAAGCTTGCCAGACAGTCTGTTTTGGTCGTAATTTTGAATACAGGGGATCCTTTAGTCTCTCCAGAATGATGCAGCTTAATTTTTGCTTGGGGTGGACAGGAACAGGAGCATGATTTCGCGCCAGTTCTTGCAAATACTTAGGTTACCCGTACTTTGGAGTTTGACCAGGTGACCCTTCTTCCAGTCTGCGGGTACCTTTCCTTCCCTCCTTCCAAACCTTCTGCAGTAGTGGTATGAGCATGTCCGCTGTTGTCTCTGCGTCTGTTGTCAGTGCTTCTGTCGGAATCCCATCTGGTCCTGCTGCTTTTCTGGATTTCAGCAACTTTGTGGCGTTCAAGACTTCATTTCTGCTTTTGTCGGAGGGTTTGTATTCACTGATAGCTATTTGACTAGGCTGCTGGTGATATTTCTGGACGAGTTGGAGGTGGTATTGGTGGTCGATTCAAGAATGTTTTGAAGAGGTCAGCCTATTATTTCCTTTGTTTCTCCTCTTTGGTAACTAAGTTTCCTTCACCACCTTTCATTGGTTTCATCTATGTTCATCTCTTCCATCCTAGATAGTAACCTTGTTATTTGATATAGTGTTGTCAGGTCTCTGTCTCTCCTACCTGCATCCTGTTCTGCTTCACTTGCAAGTGTGTCGCAGAAGTGTCTTTTGTCTTCGCACGCACTCTCCTTTACTTATTTGTCTAGTTTAGTGTTTTATAGGTTGTGCTGAGTTCCTCTTTTCGTTGTTCATCCCTGCACTGCACTGCACTGGTTCATCTTCTAATTCACCATCTTCCTCCCCTTGCTCTATCAGCTTCTATGTGTCCGTCGAGATCCGTTCCTTGTCTTGCTTCTTCTTCCTTCCTAATAGAGTTATGCAAGTTTATTTCCACATCTCTTTCAAAGAGTTTCAGTGTTCTTCCACTCAGGTTTCTCCAGAGATAATGCCCAATGTCACCCATTTTGTTCTAATGGCTGACTAACGTGAAGATGTCCTTTGTAGTTTCGTCCTTCAGTTCAGTTTCTTTTCTGGGTGTTAAAGTTGAACTGTGGTCTATCATCAACTTATGTGAAGGCATTTAACTTGATTTTGAAGGTTTCTGGCACTAGACTGCAAGTGATATGAGAACCTACATCTGCTCACCTTCATCATATGATATGGTGTCCAGTAGGCTGCATGTTCACTTTCTTGAGATTGAGGTGAAGTCGATGTGTTTTTTAGTGTGTCCTGGTGTCTGGTGAAATCAAATCCATGTCGCTGCCTTGTGAATATCCTTGAATTTGTACACACTGTCTCCAATCACCAAATCGTTGAATGTACAGAAATCTGCAAACAGTTCACCGTTCTCATTCATTTCGCCGAGTACTTCTCGACCCATGATGAGTTCTCTTCCTGTGTTTTTCACTCCAAATTCGGCATTGATGTCGCACATTAGAATGTTGCTGTGTCCTTCCAGGGTGGCGTCTTATCTATTACTGATTGCAGTTGTCTGTAGAACCCCTCCTTCTTCTCCTGATCTACATTATTCGTTGGCGCCCCAAGTTTATTACTTTCTCTTGCACATTTCTAAAATGTTCTCAACTAGCTATTTTTCGAGTTATTAACAAAAGGAAAGAAAAATATACTGTTAGAAGAAAAGGACTTTTGAATGCACAAAAATACACCATATTTGTATTTCTTGGATACTTATCTTGAATAACACATTCTTTTGCTGGCTGAATAAACCACTACCGCTAAACTTACGCTCGCTTTAATGTTCATTTTGCATTCGAAACAGAAAGCTAGTCCAACACCACTTGGCTGTTTTCCAATATCGAATTTAATTGTGTTATTATCAATATCATTCAGATGCTATAGTCATTTTGCTTAGAAATATTGTTTTGGAAGTGAATTTGTTAAATTTTGCATGCTGAGGATTCCATACTGTATCAAACATATTGCTCGGAATAAAGCTGTAGTAATAATAATGATAATAATTGCTATTATTATTATTTCAAGCATGAAGTTTAATTTCAGCCATGACAACAGTGCTCAGTGAAATAGTAAAGAACATTCAAGCCACTTACTTGCCATGATTGTGTAAATACATGGTTTCAAAGCTAAAAGGCGATATCTGACCTCTTCTGAATAGGTTTATTTAAAGATTAGTTTCTAAAGTAAAAAGTCTTATCATAATCCAAATCACGCTTATATTTAAGCTGCATTTAATGTTTAATTGTATATTCACACTATTGAATGACTTAGCAGGAGGTAGTTGACTTCAACACTTCTGGTTATTTTTAGTCAATAAAACCAACCTCTCGCAATTCTTACAAAACAATCCAACAGCTTCTAGTACGCTTACGGTTGGATGTATTGTTTTAGTTTCATTTGTCACTATTGTTATGGCGTGTTCATGTTACCAGTGCTTTTACCGGAGGAAATTACAAGCAATGCGAATTTCTAATAAGTCAACAAATTACTGGTCATCTTCAATGTCTACAAAAGGAGCTGGAATCACATTCCTTTTAGAAAAGCAAAGTAAAAATAGTTCGATTCATGCAGAACAAAACACAGAGGAAGAAAACGATCTTTTGGCACAGAAAGTCTCAGAAAAACATATGATAGGACGTAGTGCAACTGATGGTACTTTGAGCACTCTGGCTGAATCATATCCAGGGTCAAACAAAAATGAAAAACCTCAAATCGGTAACCTGGATATCAGTCAATCCTGTGGCTACGTACAAAAGCGAACAACGATTTCTCAGTCACTTAGCAAAAATTCGCTTCAATCAAGCAGTCAGAATCACAATAATAATAATAGTAATATCAATAGCACTACAAAAAGTGTGCACTTTGTTGTACCCAATCTACCATTACAAAATACTAAGCAATTACAACACTACTACTACAATACCTTTAATCCTATACAGTCGCCATATCTCACTGGCGTGAATCAACAGTTGTTGGAACATTGTGAGGTGATGCCTTTTGTAAATCAACAACGAAATCAGCAAATTCAAATAAATTTGCAAACTAATTCCCATCATTTCATTAACTACCCAATAGTGGATGAAGGTAAGCTAAGGAAAATACCATAATTTGTTGCTTTAGCTACTTTCCCTTAAATTTCAAATATTTTCATAGTTACTTCACTTTAAGATTTCTTTATAATTTACCAAGAATCTCACTCTTCCTTCTCATATGAATGATTATTTAAAATAATTTGATAAACATATTTCAGTTTAATTTGGGGTAGTATGGGGACTTAGCGATTTTTCAAGTTGATATTCATTATGGACTGACATAAGCTCGAGGAACATTGGAAACCTGGAAGCACTTGACAGCCGTTTCTTCTTAGTGTGGGACTTCTCAACAGTACGCATCCATGACCCCATACCGCCAGTGATCGAACCTAGGACGTTCAGATTCCGTGGTCAGCACGTTACCATTGGTTCCGACCCAGTGGATGAATGGTAACGTGCCGACCACGGAATCTGAACGTCCTAGGTTCGATCACTAGCGGTATGGGGTCATGGATGAGTACTGTTGAGAAGTCCCACACTAAGAAGAAACGGCTGTCAAGTGCTTCCAGGTTTCTAATGTTCCTCGAGCTGATGTCAGTCCATAATGAATATCAACTGGAAAACATATTTTAGTACGAAAATGAGATTTCATACACGAGACTGTAAGACACCTCTGTTGCAAGAAGTAAAACAATACAACCTTCGTTTATTCAAGCTGGGCCATACTCACCATAGTTCTGATGCATATTATTTTTTTAATGAAGTTATTGAGTAGCAGTATTAACCTCAATACCAGATTTCATGGGCTTTTGGCTATCCTTTTTGATCAAGTAAACTACTTCCCTCATTTCATTTATAGAGAATAGTTCAGTAAATCTTTGAGGAAATTAGACCTTTTTCTACGTGAACCTTCAAAGTTATACTACCATTTAGGATGAAAAATAACTATGTTAAAAGCTGAAGACAAAACTGTTTAAATAGGCTAAAAGTTTTGAACAGTGAACAATAACTATGACCTGTTAAGAATCACTTGAAATTAGGACACCCATATTGTCCAGTTGACATCGACACTCAAAAGATTTCAGATCTCTATGACTAACAAAATAAAAGTAAGTGCTATCTAAGGCCTGACAGCTCACTGGACGCAACTGTTGCCAACTGCAATATTACTTTGAATTAACACTAGGTATCAGTACTGTTTAATTTGTGCTTCTCTATTTTTTTTAAGTTGAGTACACTTTGAAGCTTTCATGCATAAACAATATATTGAGATTTACTGTTCTATAGACTGATAAGTAAAATTTAGTCACATAAAGGAAATTTATTTTCTTACACTTACAGTTTCATTTACCTATCTAGAAATTTAATCCAACTAATTTCAACAATATTGAAGAACTACTAACGGTGATTAATTCCCAATTTCTTTTAATTTAGCTCAAATTCTGATAAATAGTCCACCAGAACTTTTCCAGAGAAGTCTATACTCAGAAGTTAATGTTCCACATTCAGGAATGTTAAACAGCGAAATCTTGCCACATATATGGCGGTCATCTTCATTCGGCGTTGAGGGGGATTTAGTACATCAAGCTAAAAATGATTTCACAGCAAACATACCTTATGATGCGACCGAAGAATTTTCATCTTTACAAAAGCATACATTATTATGCCATCAACGTCCTATCTCTTCACCACCACTACCACCACCACCACCACCTTATCCAAAAGAACATAAAGTAATGAACTTTCATGACATTTCAAAGGAAACTCAGTACCAACAAAGTGAATATGAAAACAAAGGGAATTGTTTTGTAAGATCTCTATCTAAGTAAGTAGTGCTTATCCATTTTGTTTTAAAGTTTGCTTTATATTTATGCCTAGATTTGAACAAAGCAAGAAGAATTAGATTTGGAGTAATCTTTTAGAGAGGACTACATGCATGGAACTTATGTATGAGTTTCTTTTTCTTAAGTGACGCGGCTTAAAACATTAAGTTGAGAGTAAAAGATGACATTTTTTAAGAGATTCAGTACTCCAAACAAAGCAGGCATTCATCAGAATGGATTTAAAATGATTTGTCTTATAATCCATCTGGATGGTTTGTATACACAACTCTGAAAGTGATATTCTTTGCAAACTGAAATTATTTGGAAAAGTCAGCTTATAGTGTTCTGAAACCTCCTCAAAGAGTGCTTATTTAACTTCAGATAAAAATGTATCTACAACCCGTTTTCAACGGAGGTATTAGTTAACATATGGGGATCAGAATTATCCCGGTCAGCCTCGTCTACTTCACTGGCTATTCCAGTCTACAGGAAAGGAGAAACATCTTCTTGTGACAACCACTAGGAAATCAGTTTGACTAATATCGTGTCCAAGATCATACGGTGCATAAATGTGTGCCGCCTAACTGGGACCTGCGAAAAACAAAATTGCGAAGACCAAGCAGGCTTAGTACTTGGATGACATAACATTGATCTGATCTTTGTTATGTAATGGGACTCGGGCAGAGTTATCGATCCCTGAAAACTACCATTCTTCTTGACCAAAAGGTGATATTCATCTCCGTCACTTAAGAGGTGTTGAGGTAGTTCCTCGGCTGCTAGTCAATTAACAAGTAACTATATAATGTTAATCAGAGATCTCTACTTTAGTTCATGAAGCCGTGTAAAAACTGTGGGAGTTGTCATCTGAAGCGTCCACAATAAGTAGCATCCACCAAAGATTACTTTTGTCAGTATCATTGTTTACGTCATCGTAGATTTGTTCTCAGAAATAATTTTAGGTGCCTTTTAAGTGATTGATTTCCTACCTGAAAAGCATCTAGTTGTTCCGGAGTGCGCAAAAGACACTTCCTTTCAAGTTGAAGATGCTGACAAAATGAAATATCTTCTGAACGCCTTGGGCAGACATCTGGGCACATTTCGCTTACGTTTCTTGCCTGTCAAATGTAAAGTGATGCTGGGTAATGAATGAAAGCGAAATGTTAATTTGAGCTGCTGCAGGAGGTCACTGGTTTTAACCCTACCGCGGCTCAGATTTTCATTCCATCTTCAGCCATCCTCCAGTATCAATACAAGTCTTCCAGACCACAGCTTCCGCGGATAGTCAAACTGATAAGATGATTCTTTAAGTTACTCCCAAATTTGGGATTAGGAGTAAAGTCGTAGAATACATTAATCACTTCAATTATTCGAAGAGATAGATCAGCACGAAAGAACTCGTGGATGAAGGAATCTCAGAACGGACTAAGAAGGCTGTTTTGACAGTTGCTAAAATGATTCATATCTGGTACCGATGAGGATGAGCATACTAAGTTGCAGGTCGTTCTGCCTTACTTGTGTAACTGAGAGCCGTGATCGTTGATGGTAAACAATGTAATAATGTTACAGTTTTTTACAGTAAATGTCGCTCTACCACCACCACCAGTGATGGAATCACCATATCAATCATATCTTAGTTCGGGGAAAAACACTAAGTAAGGAGGGTAAGGCAGTGAATGAGGTGCAAACTTCCGTAGACCGACATTTTCTGATAACTTCAACTTCCTAATAAAGACGTTTAGTTTTGTGACTCTTGAAATTTCCGAGTAGACTTGTTGCTTGTCTGCATTTCTGAGAATTTGAGGATTTTTGAGACGATTGGGTTTAGAGTAATGTATGCCATAAAGATAACTCTATGAAAAGACTATTTGGAGGAAACGTCGACGCCACTGTATTTCACTGCATCTTCATCGGCTGTAGATAACCTGAAAAACTAAGTAAACGATCACAATAAATGATTACATAACCCCACTTTGGGTTAGAGATTCCGGTATATCAATTCACACTATAGAGACCACTGAAAATAATTTGAGTTTCCTTTGTGTAGATAGTGACTGCATGATTACATGACTGCATCCAGCTAATTTAATCTAAGCTTCCTCATTGAAGAACATCCCTCCCTTTGTCTTCAGAAAATATATTTGGTTTTATTAAATTACATTATTTAAACTTCTGTTGCGTTTTAAAATTTCAATACTTTTTCTGATTTTCAATTCACGAACTAGTATCCTGAGATTCTTTATGGAAAGTGTGTTTTAAATTTGCATGGGTTTTTATACACATCTTTGTTTAAGTTGAATTTGGTTGGTTAAAATTCTATGAAAGAGAAAAGCGTCATCTTTCTCTGCAAAAGATAATCTCGCCATCTGATTCAACATTCAAGCTATACGTAATACAAAATCCATTTGAGTGAACTAAGAATATTCTTTTCAATAAATTCTTTCACAGGTTCTACCGTCACATTTATATGTTAGGAATTATGCGTCAATTATATGGAGATGACGTTTATCGGTTTGCTGTTAATGTTATACAATTGAGGAAATCAACCGGAAAAATCCTGTGTGGACGTTCACGATGGAGACAAATGTTACTTGGATTCAATTCAATATAATTGGTTATCAAGATGATTATACAGCTTATGTAAAAATATAAGGTGATAGATTAATAAAACAAAAGGTAGGAGATCATGGCAACTGGATGAAATAAGAAGGACAAAACGGGTTAAGAGAAGTTATCAAAAGTATTATGGATTATAGGAAAGAAGTGGTATCTACAGTATGAAATTAGATTATCTGGGGCAGGATGCTTATGAATTTGTGCATGCCGAATCGGGCCAAGTTCGTTGTATAAGTAACACTTGTGTATTTTGAACACACAACTCGGGTTGTTTGATCCTGATAACCACAGTTTCTGCAGTTTGAAGAATCCTGAGCCGAGTACATTTTGACAACTTGATGCAAACGCCGTACAGAATGGAAAACCATTTATTTATATCTACTTTATGGTTCGTTTCAAACAAGTGTGCTGATATGTAGCTGGTAATGGTCTTTACCACATCTTTACTTAACCACACTGGGAGGTGTTTGCAAGCACCAAAAATTAAATTTCTAGAGCAGCGGTCAACATAACTAATTTTACAGGAGCAGTCAAATTGATAAACACAACACCAAGTGGCCAGTCAAACCAATTCACACTCTATGTCAGCGATGGGCGTATGGAAAACGAAATCTATAATTTACCAGAGTTAAAAGTTCTGTTAATTGATCTACACAATGTGTGAATTAATATCTCCCTGAGCATGTCACCTCTAAGTTGTACCAGAAAGTATAGCGGTTTTCTGCTAGCCGTTGCAATATCCTCTCTTGCCATTTTTGTAATCATATGTTTCTCCATGATTTGTCAATATATCCATTTCCGATTAGCATCTTGCACAAAGTTACCAGTTTCTTCTCAGCTGTATATTCTGAACGTATAGTCATTATTCTGCAACCTTAAGTTCTCACGAAATTTCTTTTGTACTGAAGGGGGATGAAGCTAAGAAAATAAGTGCATTGCCTCGTTCACGTACGTTTCCTAAACAGATTCCACTTTATTGACCTATCTCTTCACCTTGAGAGAAGAACATCGAGAAAAGCTATCTTGCATACTGTCTCTTCCTCATATGTACACTTCATCATTGGGTATATTGCGTTGAATTTGCCGAGGATCTTTGACCTGTCCATATTGGTTTTGCATAGGATGAATCTATCATCCATGTGTCAACAGTGAAATGAAAGTTCTGTGATAGATTGTTCAAGTGAACCATTCTGTAGTCTCAATAGGAAAAGGTCCACTAATATGGGACACAGTGGCGAGCCTATTGTGAATCCATCCACTTGTCTACATAGTTCACAGTCAAATTCAAAGTTTACTTTCATTGTACATTTGAACAGTAATTCTTTGAGGATATCTATCTGGATTCCAACATTGACAGACATTTCTTCCAGCTGTTCACCTATACAACTGACTATCTTGAGAAGAGGAATATTGGCGAATAAAGATGTTACATCCAGTGACATCATGGTCTTATCTACGATATTAGGATCCTTAATTCCATCAATGAATTCAACTACGTTTTCCATACTATGTTTTATTAGCTGACTGCTTAAAGGTTGAAGAATGGTGACTAGTCGTATTGCTAGAGCATGATTTTATGTATCTATACCAGTAACATGATAGAGCCTTTAGATTCCACCTCTAATGGTCACTCAGTTTCTTTGTTCATAGAAAAGGTGGAGTCAGAGTAATCTAGGAAAAACTGGTCTGAAAATTGAGATACTCCGCTTTGCGATGACTCGCCATGGTCAACTTTACAGTATACTAACCCGACACATGTTTATGTTACTGGTCATGAGCCATGCCTTTTGTGTATGTGCTGGTGATTGTACATTTTCTCCCAGACTGAAGTAAGAGTTAGAGATGAGAATAAGATTTAAAAATTAAGGATACAAGCGACAAGGGACAAGCAAATATTCTGCCTGATTCATAAACATTTAAGTTTATTGAAAGTCAGAAGTCATGAGATTTTATGCTTGAAGTATCTTTTTTAAAGTAATATACTATTATTTTTCTGTAAATGCGTTTTTACGAATTTGTGAAAAGAATATGCAGAATTCATCTATTTCATTAAAAAAACATATATTAAAAAAGGGAAACAAAATAATATTTGTGAACGTGAACTTCTGTCTTCTGGTTGAGTTCAGTGAAAATAATCAAGGAATGTAGGTGTGCATAATTTGGGGGCACATTTAATCACCTTAAGCAAAACGTAGTATAATACAGTATTCATGGTTTTTTCTCTTTTTAAGAATCAACAATCACCTTTTATTTTTAGTATTACAGTTCTTGAAATGGACTCTAAGTATAAAGTCATCCCACCTTTATTTTTAAAAGGTAGAAATTGATCAAAATCTTCCTGTTCCTTTGATAGACTGCCTCCGGAAAACACGTCAAGAAAAGAAATAAGTATAAATGTAAATAGTAACTTCCCAAAGAAAAATGGTGAAAGGCATACTACTAATCGACGACATGGAAAAAGACATAGACAACAACTAAAAATCAATAACAATATAAATATTAATCATTGTTATAACAAAGAAGCAAGAAAATTGGCTATGCTTAGTATCTATTCTGATAGCAGTGCACCAGAATCTATCAACAATTACCTGATCAAACAGTTACATTATCAGCATCATCACAACAAATACCTGAAACACTCAAGCAAAATAACACAGTCTGATGATTCTGACTCCCTTGTATCAACTGACCTGGGTGCTACGCATAGTAGTATACGTTCAAGAAAACATACCATTAACAAGCGATTAACACACATAGAACGTACTCAAAGAGTCAAACGTCTTCACGGACACAAGACATGCCATTTTCATTCGAAAAGCCGAACATCGAAAAATGTGAACACGTTGACCGACAATATTTCTTCATCGAGGGGTCTACACACTGCAGTTGACAAAGATCTTGAAACAAACAAGCACAATGCAAATAATAATGTTGAATTGGACACTGAAAATATTTTATCAGTAATAAATGAAAGATACACCATATCACACAGTGGATCCAACCCATCAAATTTATCTGTATTAGCTAGAGAATATATGATTAACAGCATGAACCGCTCATTTTCCTCATCAGATCTATTATACATTAAACATGCGGAATATATTTAGGCTTTTGCGTCCGGTTTACTGTCTGATACCAGTACACACAAGCAGACACATTTCTTTTGCGAACAAAAGCATAAATCACTGAAAATATTCAGGAATTATATTAATTAACCAAAAGATGTGCACGTGTATCGCCAATCAATCAAAGTGACAAATACAATAAACAGAAGAAAAATAACTCAAACAATTGATGAATATAAAGATCTTCCAATGAGCTATATTGTTGTACGGTAGTACAACATATATGTAGAGAAAAAATATTCTTCGATTACTGTTTATTCAGACAATGAACTCAGGAATCTTTTGTATAACCTTAATATAAAGTTACTAAATAAATGCACCTCTTTTAATTTCTGTTATCAGCAGATGCTAAGATCAGAATAAATAACCTTCCTTAGCTAATACATCTTAACAACTACTCTGGTCGAGATTCTTTTTGCATAGAGTGAGAATAATCCACTAAGTAGAATAGAGTGGATTCATTTTATTCGGGGTTCTTCATCTGTTTCTTACAACCCACAGAATTTGAATACCGCACTGAACAAAAACCTTTCTATACCTTAAAAATGTGTTAGAAAAATATTTGCTTAAGAAATGATAACATCAATGTTGTATAGTTGAATTCAAAATATTTGAGTGACCTGTAAATATGCAGAATATTCTAGGGACAAGAATCAAAGCTGGACTAATGTACTGAAGGTACGGAGAAACATTTCTGACGAAAATGTATATCAAAAAATGTATATTTAAAAAAAAATTTAAACTAGCTAATAAAATGTGATGAAACGAGCTCAGACAATAAGATCAAGAATGTCAAATGGGATATACAATAACAGTGTATAAATTGATGATGTTATATAAGAAAAACACGGTTGTGTATAACAACAAAAAAACTACCAAAGTAGGAGCAGAATAACGAATGTTCCCTTCTGAATGTGTTAGTTCGATTATCGTGAACGTCACATAATCGAAATGTTCGGGCTGTTTTGTTCCTCTCAAACGTAGCTATGTTGGAATTTTGTACATTTGGTTCTCATACCGAATAAACATTAAGAAGATATTAGCATTTACGTAGCCCTTTTAATAAGTTTTATTGAATAGCTTAGAGTTATTATTTACCAGTTTAACTATTCAACTTGTAACAGCTCACTAGAACTCGATGTAATAAAGTTGAATCGTCTTATTTAGCAAGTACACACATTCCTCTATCATCGTACACATTTCGAAGAGAATATAGGTGTCAATCTCGCCGTTTTACTGTTTACTTCTTTTCTTGTATACAAATTCACTAATAATCATAGGAGCAGAAGACAGCTGGCAGCCACTTTACTTATATTTGTCTCACTGATCAGTGTATTGGATAACGGTTTATTAACATCACTATGAATGTGTAATTTTTAAACTTTAACAATTGTACTGGTGATATTGCTATCTTTAAAGATGTGTAGAAGGAATAAATACTTTCCCATCTTCAACTACTTAAATTGTTGGATGAATTTTATTACCATAATTCCTTATCACTCTCAAAGGGTGATAATTTCATTCCTGACATTGCACACTCCATTGTGGAGAGATTTTATTGTAGCTTGTTTTACATCCAATGAATAACTGCTGTGAAATAAAAAGTGCTGCTCAGTTCAGGTTTTTTTTACACAGACAAATAACTGAAATGTTTCATTAATTTGTTAGGCATCATCTGATTAGACAATTAATGTAGAATGCGTCCTATGTAAGACGGAGGATTTAGAAACGATATGGTTCTCATATATTAGGATTTTTCTAAAGAGTAGCTCGTCGGAACTGTCACGGTATATTCAACGTAAGAAATAATTTAAGAACAAACATTTGCAGTCAGTAAACCGTAATATGTAAATGGCATATACAGAATTTTTCTGGAGATATCTGAATGTCATAGTCCAAAAATGTACATCTCCTACACATTATTAATCATTACCTACAAAGCCAAATTCTGTTGTGGAAATCACTTTGGGAGTATTTTAAGAAATATCATATTGTGAGTATGAAATTAGCGTGATGAGGATTGTCGATGGTTTCGATCTCAGATAAAAGTCCAAATATTTTTTACAGCTGAAACAATCTCAATTCATACAATCGGTACCACACATTCCCTTAAACCGTTAAAACAGATGTCTATCGTCAACCACAGAACAAGACCAATATCTTTGTAGCCTCATATACTTCCCCAAAATCAATAGCCAGGGCTTCAATGAGATTTAGTATTGATGTTGACCTTCATGGCTTTATCAGACTCACTAAGCTGAAGCATAGTGTCAAGCACTCATTCCATTTTGCACACTGTCGTGTTACGTTGAACTGCTCGTAATCAATCGTCTAGCCAGCTAGTTGAAAGGCACTGATTTTTTGGCACGACCTCGCAGATATACTATTCCATCTGACTAGGCCTCTGTGTTCTTTCTTGGTCTTGTTTTAGTGGGTATATTAAAAGTACGAATAATTAGTGATTGACCTAGACATATGTCAATTTCGCACAAGGACAAGTCTTAACTCCTTTCTACTGACACTGTCAAAGATGTGATAGACTAGTTACTGGTCATATATGAGTCTCCGCTATTTGCTGAGCGGTGCTATCTCTCAGCACCCATTAGAAATAAAATGACAATCGGTGGTGAATTCCTAAATTCAGTGCTGTGGAACCTGAATGTATCATCGTTATTTCTTTACAATTATTGTGCATTCATAAAACATGAGGTTCTACTGCCTTCGAGAACTTTGAAACAATATTTTGGAGAATTTCATGGTCCTTACAAAAGCCAGACTTACGCAACATATTTCTGCTACACCAAACGAATGTAGTAACCATAAAATAAAAGCAGTTACCATCCCTTAAAACCTGACAGACAACACATGGTAGCAGTAATAATAAAAATGGTAAATACGTTGATCGTGGTGCTCCGCTTGCGATGATTTACCTGTCCTCCATTTCATATAACCTTCTCAGTTGAAAGTTTTTTCCGTTCTTTCTTTCTGTCTGAGTTTCAGTGAAACTGCTTTTTGTTTTCTTTTATATTCTGTAGGGTTTGTCTACGATATGTCCTCAGTTGTGTATGATTCCATCTCGCTTGTTGTGATCTCACCTTACTCTGCACTGACAGTCTAGTTCATCGGCCACGCGTTTGCTTTCACATCCATTTATCTGTCATTTCCTACATAGATGTCTGAAGTGTTGATACTGCCAATGGAAGTTCCACTTCGTAGCTGCCTCCTTTTACGACCAGTCATTTCTCCCTATCGACCCAGTAGTTTGAGATCTCGCCAATATTCACTTGATACATATCTGTCGAAAGCAATATATGATCTTTTCACTCTTGAAATATGGGCACTGATTCCTCAGTAGCATCTGCAACACGTCATGATCTCCAGGAATTTTTCTAATAATGGCCAAAGTTACTGTCTTTGTGTGTTCATCTGGAATTCCAAAGACGTCTACCATACGTGTGCATGTTCTGTTATCACTAGCAGGTACTGTTTGCCACTGGACTTCTAAGGAGTCGTCCCATTATATCTACCGACTACAGGTCATCATCATCATCAACAGGTTTCAACTGCAGTGATGACTGTGCATTGATCAATCGACATCCACTGTCACTATGGGCGGGTCCCTACAAACTTCCAAATATAATCCCGCATTCCCGCCCGATATGAACTTTCCGAAAGACGTCACTCGTCTTCGTAACTCTTGCGTATGCAGGATGGTGGTAGCTGCAGATCAACTCCTTTTGTAGACGTTTTGGAGTTGAACATACAAACTCCTCCTTGCCCAGCCTTCTCATCAAGTCAAAGCACCGTGGGAGTTCACTCTTAGTTTGTCTCTCTGTGGAAAGTTTTCGACTCTTCATCTGTTGTAGCTTCACAATATCCATTCCTTCCGTTACAGACAGAATCACGGTTTTCGGGCGGAGATGTGCCTTCTAGTAACGCATCATCCCAAATGAGTTGTGTTCCTAAGGGTTGACCAGCATGTAAAGATTCCGGGAAGTCGTCTGTTTCCTCTAGTCGTGACGGGCAGCTCGCCACTACATTTTCGGCCGAGGGATATGACCAATCGTGAAATCGTACACTTGTGAGCTTAAGGACCATCGTGCTAGTTTCCTTCAGGGTCTTGCACTGTCTACGACTGCATTTGGGGCTCCTTGTCAGCCTCAACCCGAGACTCTTGTCTGAGGAGACGTGGTGTCCATTTTTCTAAAGCTTAGAGGATCTCCAGGAATTCTTTCTCAGCTGCTGAATTTTCTTCTTCTGTGAGCAAGAATACCCCAAACTGGGAGGGGACAACACAGGAAGAGAACTAACCATGGGTCGAGAAGCGCTAGGTGAGGTGATGAACGAGAATGGAGAATTGTTTGCGGAGTTATGAGCATTCAACGATTTGGTGATTGCAGTCAGGCACTGTATTCAAGCACAAGGATATCCACAAAGCGACATGGATTTCACCAGATACAAGGACACACTAAAAATCAAATCGACTTTATCTCAATCTCAAGAAAGTGGAGACAGTCTACTTGACAGAAGACCAAGAAGGGGAGCAGATGTAGGTTCAGACCACTATCTAGTGCAAGGAACCTTCCAAATCAAGTTGAAAACCTTCAAGGAAGCTGGTGATATACCACAGTTCAGGTTCAACACCCAGAACAGAAACTGAAGGATGAAACTGCAGAGAAAATCTTCACGGCAGCCATCAAGACAAAATGGGAGATATCGAGGAACATCCCTGAAGAAACCTGTGTGGAAGAACACTGGAAGTCTTTGAAAGACATATGGAAAGAAACTTGCATAACCGTATTAGTGAGGAAGAAGAAAGAAGACAAGGAATGGATCTCGACGGATACATGGAACCTGACATAGCAGGGAGAGGAGGATGGTGAAGCAGAAGACAAACCAGTGCAAGGATGCTCAACGAGAGGCGAAACTGAGTACAATGTATAAAACACTAGACAAGGAAGTGAAGAAGAGTGCATGGGAAG